CTGTAGGGTACAAGATCAGGCTGGAAGAGTGTGGGAAGAAGTTTGGAGTTTACTCAAAGGGTAATAGGCCACAGAGGATTATGCAAAGCATCTTAAAAGACCTCTTAGGCTGCTCCAAGGAGAAAGAAGTGGGGTGTGGTAAGAGAGAATCTGGAAGGTGAGCTGGGAGTGTTTTGAGTCCATCTGGAGATGGTGGCAAGTCATGCCATCGATGGGGAAGAAAGAAGATGCTTAGGAGGTGGATTTTGTTGGTTGTGTTTCTAGGAGATAGCAATGGATCAGGATAGAGGCAAACAGTATGAGGATGTTGCTCATCCTTTGTGTGAACTTGGTAGATTGCACAGATGGTACAAGGCTTTATTTGGGGGTGGGTGGGGGAGGGTTATTTAGCATTGGATGTGTTTACTGAGATCCATGTGAGATTCCTCTGTGAAAAAATTGAGATGAGGTCTGTTACTCAAGTGACATAAGCACCTGCAATGCAGATGTGTGTTTCAGAATGTCTGGCCCATGGGTAGTACTGGCAGCCATATGGGAAGATGGGATTGCCCAGGGAGAGGATATTGAGAGAGACAAAGGGAGTCAGTGTGAGCCCTGATAAATTCCAACATTCTAGTAGCCTGGGGTGACAAAGCACTCTAAGAGGGATATCTCTCAAAGGTAGAAGCCCGAGAGAATATGGTGTTAGGTAAACCAAGGGAAGAGGGTTTAAACAAAACCTGGGAGCAATGGACTGACTATTGGGAAGAGCTGGAAGGGATAGTAATGAGATGGGTGACTGGGAAGTGTCTTTGGATGTGGTAGTCAGGATGCTGTAGAGGGAGACAGTTGTCAAAAAGCCAGATTCAGTGCAGGAAGAGAGACTAAGAAGGGGGGGGGAAGGGCAGAGACAGAGACACATGGAGACAGAAACACACACACACACACACAGGTAGAGGGGAGACTATATCTATAACTCTTAATAATCTAAGTTCTGAAGGCAGAAGCCAGTAGCTGGAGGGAGCCGAGTAGGAAGATTAGGGGAAGGTATTTAGTTTGTTTGTTTCCCTCCAACAAAGGAGATCCTAGTTAATGAGAGTGACTTAATAGACTTAATAAAGAGGGAGACATTAACGACGCTGGAGGGACAGCTGGCGGATGGTGGGCTGTCGTGGAACGTGGCGTTTGGTAGCAGGAGGAAAGAGACACAAGTCGGCTTTTGTTGTCTACTGCAAGTGACTGTGTGCTAGTTACTGTGCTAAGTGACTGCAAAAAGGCTCACTGACGGAAGCCTCTCCATTTTACAGATGAGAGACTCGACCTTTAATAGAGAGGGATAGCCGAGGTCTTAATTCAGAGCTCATACCTTTCTTTCTCTTACTTAGAGACTTTCCTGTGTGATGGTGTATTAGTTTTCTCCAGCTTCCATAAACCATCACAGATGGAGCTGCTAAAACAACAGACATTTATTTTCTCACAGTTCTGAAGACTTCCAGTTCAAGATCAAGGTGTTGGCAGATTTGGTTTCTCCTGAGGCCTCTTTCCTTGCCTCGCAGATGGCCACTTTCTCACTTGTCCTCACTCAGCCTTTCCTCTGTGCTCCTGCATTCCTGGTGTCTCTTGCATGTCCTAATCTTTTCTTACAAGGACACAAGGAAGATTGGACTAGGAGGCACATTGCTGTAACAGCTTCATTTGAACTTGGTCACCTCTTTTAATGGCCTTATCTCTTGGTATATTCACTTTTTGAGGTGAGGGTTTCAATTATGAATTTTGGGGAACGCAATTTATGACAGATGACTTCTCACGGTATAAAGCTAGGAGAGGTAGTCAAGAACATTCTGAAGATGTAACTAGAATAGGAGAGAGTGGGAGATTGCTAGACATATGTAGTCCTAAGGTCAGTCATGTCTGGAGATGATCGCAAGCATCCAGTCTGCCAGTTATCTGAGTCTGCAGCAATAGTTTGATACATGTGTGGAGTAAAGAGTAAGACTTCTGTGCTTCGATGAGGTGCTTGGTCCTCCTGGGCTCCTGGGCCAGCCAAAACATCATCTTCTGTGTACAGGGTTGAAGTGCAAATGAGCTTTACTCATATTTTCTGCAGAATTACATGTTACTATTTGTTGATTATTTTCTTTCCTCCTCCTTCTCCTCTTCATCTTCTTCTTCTAAATGTATGGGTGTTTTGCCTAAATGTGTGTAAGTGTACCATGTGTGTACCTAATGCTTATGGAGGCCAGAAGAGGCCATCAGATCCCCTGGAACTGGAGTTACAGATGGTTGTGAGCTGCTGTGAGGGTACTGGGAATCAAACCTGGGTCCTCTGGAAGAACAGCCAGCGCTCTTAATTGCTGAGCCATCTCTCCAGCCCTGTGATTATTTTCAAGTAGTTGAAATGAAGAGAATTAAATCTATGAGGGTTGAAATTTTGTTGGTTCCCCAATATAGAAAGCAGTGTGAGCATTTTCCAACCTGTTCTTTAAACTGTCCTTCATGATTGTGCGTGAAATCTTCTTGACCCTTTTCTTTCTTCCTTTCTTCCACCTCAGTCACAGGTAACTTTCTGAGTACTTACTAGGTGCCTGGGATCTAAGAATAAAGAATCCATAAGTACTATATATATATATATGTGTTATACACACACACACACACACACACACACACATACACACACACACACACACACACACACACACACACACACACACACACACTCACACAGAGCCAAGTACTAAAGCTGTTATTAAAGTATTAACTCATTGTTCACTTATATCTTTTGACTGTGTTGGGTACCCACTTGGTATTAGGCAGCATCTTTAAGATTATTGGGGTGGAAACATTAGTAAGATGCTTCTCAACAAATTCCCACCTTGATGTGGAAAAATAAACAGGTAAGTAAACAGAGATAACACTACGAGAATCTGTCAACCGTACAAAGATCTAAAGTAGTGTCTGCTTTCCCATGCAAGTTTGGAAACTCATTGAAAGGAGCTGTTACTGCATTTTAATGAAAGTTACTATAAAAAGTAATCCATTCATCTCATAAACATGTTTGAATGCTTGCAATCATTGTGTAATGATGGTTTTAAAACTCTTGAATCACGAGCAAGTCATTGAGTTGGGGGATCTTTGACTTTTCTCCTCATTTCAGCTTGTTGTCCAAACTCTGTACTATCACCAACTTCCTTTTTAGGTAGTAGAATGAGGAATGATATTCCTGAAATTCTCCACATAGACCTGCTGAGTGTTCAAAGTTGAGAAAAGTCACAGTAATAAAACATCATTGTGATAGTACACAAGAAAGTGTAAGTTGGTCTGGCATGTATCTCAGATATTTGGAACTTAAAACTATACATTAACGTGAGTGTTTCTTGTAATGTCATTATAAAAATTATGATGAGTGACAGGTCAAAGACATTTGGAAGAAAATGAATTCTGTTGATTATATAGTTGATATATTTTTCAGGAATTACCTATTTATAGTTTAATCTCAGAAAAATTGTTTATAACCAAATACCATGGGTTAAATGAAACAGTAGGTATTAAAGTTATTGCTGTCTTTGGAGATGATGTGTTGTAGAAGCCCAAGGCCATCTATCTGCAATGTAAACTTATTTCTTTGGGAGAATGCCCAGAAGCAGAAAGGAGAAAAGGCAAGTCCAATAAATGGAACATGTAGACTTTAGAATAGTGATTAGCCCAACTACTGCTGACAATTGCTGTGATGTTGTGTAACGAACATTTACTGTGTGCATGCTGGCTCAGTCTCAGAACTGTGTTCTCGAGTGAGTCATGGTGAATAGAGCACTGGATCACGAGTCAGGAGAACTAATTGATAGCCGAGTTCTACCACTATCTGCCCGTGGGCCTCATTTTTTCCCATCTTTAAAATGAGGTGGTTATGGGTAAAGGGCTCTAAGATTCTCCATGTTCTGATACGTTCTTGTTCTGTGGTTCTTCATCCCACACCTGTCAAAAGCATTTTGACTTTCTTTAAGTTGCTTAAGCCAGCGTTTCAGTTAGATCCATCCAGGAGCATATTCCCATTGGCTGTTGGGAACAGCAAAGCCTTGCTTCTCCGGGACTTCCTATGTCTTCTGCTAACTGCTGACAGTGAGCCATACCGCCTAAAAGGCTCCCTGGGTACCCTTAAAGATTGAAAGGACAAACGGACAGTATTGAGAACTCTGTGGAAGAGGAGACCAGAGAGACGTTGATCACCATGGCTCCTTGGGATTTGCAAAGAGGAATGACTAGAACTGGGCCATTCACTACAGCCAGGTCAAAGGTCAGGTCAGGAATGTGGACAATGCTGGTGACTCCAGGTAGGTGTAGGAGGGTAACTACATGTGTTTAGTCCCTCCTGTCTTAAGACTGGGAAGCCAATCTCAGAAAGCTATTAGGGTGGTTCCTAATTTACACAATTCTTTAGAAGAAAAATGTGATCTTTATTGTTTGTGTTTTTATCACCACGCAATCATTGTATTCTTGATACCCAGTAAATATACTTAACATATTCATACAGTTAAGCATTCATTAAACACACTTGCATCATCACTTACTGAGTTAAAGAAAACCCCGATTTTAATTGATGCCATTATACAATGGACACATTTTTTTTTTTTCAGGGAATTTTAGAGTTTTGAATTTTCTTCCTTCATATTAACTATAACTCTACAGAGACTTATACTTAGTATTATTGATAACAGGAAGCTAATATGGAGATAATTAGAAAGCAATTAGAATAATGCTTTCCTTAGTGATCCTAAAGAAAATAGACAGTTTGTGTAGGGTTATTAATCCAGATAGGTAAAAATAATATTAATTGTTGAATGCAGTTATAAGACATCAAGTGTTTTGTATTAGTGTTTCTATCATGGAGTTTCAGTAAAAATTTATATGTGTTTTTAAAAATATGAATTGAATTCTCGTATGTAATTATTTTCTGTATGTTTGATACATATTACAAGAAGGTTCTTCTTTTTCTTCTTCTTTTTTTTCTTTTTGCTTTTATCTAGTTGCTTCCAAGATCCGGTACTTGCAGGACTATCATAATCGAGTTCTCCACAACATTTATCCCGTACCATCAGGAACAGATATCGCAAACACCCTGAAGTACTTTTCCCAAACCTTATTAAGGTAAGCCTTCAATTCCCTGACTTCGAGAGAACTATTAGGTAGTACCGCTGAATTTATTGGGACCTAATTTCACACTGAACTAAAAGTCTTGAAAGGCCTTAGTTTTCTAGTGTTCTGTCAGAAGAGTCTGGACTCCCACCCTCTGGGTGTGTCTAACAGATCAGCCCTTAGCTTCCTTGGAAACATGGGCAGCCTGGTTGTGGCCTGCTTCCCCAGTTGAGTGTTCTTTTGGGAAATCTACAAATGATTTAAAAAAAAAAGTTGTGTGTTTGACATGAATAGCTCAAGATTAGGAAAGTGAGATTGGAGTCTCTAAAATTGAGAGCAGGGAGCACTTAGAGTCTAAAGAAAATTGAGAGTTACATGGCAAGTTAGCCTTGTTGCTAGTACGTCCTGGTTCTCAGATTACTGCAGTAATAGTGGCTGCTTCGATGGAATGTGTCACAACTGGTATTAAGTTCCATGAGGACAAGAGAGTAACAGCTCAGGTGCTCCTTTTACATTGTTTTTACCACAGGGCAGAGACTTGAGGAGGCATTCCCCTCTACACTCGCCACTAATACAAACAAGCAAAGACGATCATTTTCCAGCAGTTGTAGCTGTCTTTGACAAATAGAGTTGAAGAATTCAGAATATTTCACTCACCATTACACCCCAACACTTGGTCTCCTCATTGCCACAACCCCTCTTTGAATCTGTCTCTAGACTCACCACCATTTCTGTTCTTTAGACAATAGCAAGAGTTCCTTAAATCAGGTATGGGGAGGACGTACTTCGGAGTGACTGTAGTGGCCCTGGAGTTTCCAGTGGTCTGACACTTGTGTGCAGGCAGGCTGGCCATTTACAGAGAGGAACATCCTGCACACAGCTAGTCACTGTCTTCTGCATTGCTGTCTAACATGCTTCTTCTCTGGATATTGTCTCATCTTTAGAATCCTTAGTATCTCTGTACTAGTGTGGAGAGCACTAGGAATTCTGTTTATCAGGTTCATGATGTCTGTTAGGCTTACACAGTTGGTTTAGGACCCTGGAGCAGGCCATTTCCCCTTTTCGAAGGGCATAGAATAGTTAGCCAGGTTTTCACAGTAATAATCAGGTGAACATGTGAACCGAGGCATCCATTCTTTTAAATTATCCTTTACCTTTGAGACTGGGGACCCCCAAGGGAAACTCTTTCCCATATTGGAACCCAAAGTGAGGGACGCTTTTGTGGTAGGAAACATTGTAGATTCCACTTGTGAAGAAATGGCAACACCTTTGTTGGCTTCAGAGCGTGCCACTCAGGGCTTTGCAATTGTGCCAGTAAGTTAAGAAATTTATGATGCTGTTTTGAGTGGTGTCTGCAAGGCATGAGGGTTCTGTTTTGATCATTACAATGAGGTCAGGGGTAACAGCATCTTCATGGTGAAACTGGCATTCAGGTAGTCTATTCTAGTGGCTGTTAGGGGAAGATCTGTGTAACTGAGCATAGTCTGCTTTAAAGGGGTGTCAATATCAATGGCTATTAATGGTGACAGTGGCAATAGCTATAGTCACCACAGCAACATTATATTATGATAGCTATATTTCTTTACATCAAGTCTGCTCTAAGCTCTTTAAGTGTGACATTTCCTTTAACCCCTTGTAGTTAGATAAGAGTCCTACTGTACACATTTCACAGATGATGAAACTAAGTCACAGAGTGGTTCAATATGTTGCTCAATGTTACGTATCTAGTAATTTTGGAGCCATTAGGTCATTGGTGATCTAAATCCACAACACACACTGTGACACCCGTGCCATGGTGCTGCCCTCTAGTTATTGTCACACAACAGGGATACCTCTTTTTAATAAAAACTTGATTTTGCATTTGGGAATGCTAGCATCTGATACAAAGCCATAGGGTAGTTTGGGCTGTCTGTGAAATCAAGGGAAGAAAGGGAGTTTAGTGTAGAGATTTGGCATCCGCTCAGAACTTTGGTTAAACTGAGCTGTATGGAGGTGATGGGGATGGTACTGCAGTTCACAGATGTCTCAGTTCCACCTTCCACTCAGAAGGGAGCTGCAGGTAGTGGATCAGAGCAGGGCTGACAGACTCTGTGCATACCTGCATAGTAATCATAGTATATGTGGACATACAGGTATAGAAAGAACGTGGAGGAATATAATGTATCATGGATCGGACTTGAATAGGAATATTTACAAGTAAACTATTTGGTCTGAACCATATGAATTTTCTATCTTCTCTGTGCCTACTGAAGCTTTTTTTCCATTCAAAAAACTGGAAATACAAAACTTTTAACTTTTGTTCTCTATATTGGACTATGTTAGAAGCCCCTTTGCAGTTGGCAGCTGCATACATTCCAATCATATTTACATTCCTTCCTCTTAAAAAGCTAGTAGAAAGTTTAAGCCACACGAGATGGACTGTCTTCGGCCTTTTTTTTTTTTCTGTTTTTTTTGAGACAGGGTTTCTCTGTGTAGCTTTGTGCCTTTCCTGGAACTCACTTGGTAGCCCAGGCTGGCCTCGAACTCACAGAGATCCACCTGGCTCTGCCTCCCGAGTGCTGGGATTAAAGGCGTGCGCCACCACTGCCTGGCTTGTCTTTGGCTTTTTGACTATTACCAGTAAATATCTCTACCACAAACAAGGTGGTTCCCTTTGCATTTATATAATTTTTACATCCAGAATTACTTGCTGCTTCCAGAACTCAGGTTCTTGCAAAGAAATAGGAAGAAAGAGCTGGGCACTGTGGCTCCTGTCTGAAAGTCTCTAAACTAGTGAGTTGGAGGCAAGAGGAATGAGACATGGGGCAGGATTGTGTGGCACCATTTTGCAACATTCAAGTGCCTTTACTTGCATTAGGATTACATGGTTAGAATGCTAGTTGTCTGGGTCTAGGTATTCATGTAGCCTCACTGAATTCAGGAAAGCTTTGTATGGCCAGGCTGAGGTTAGCCCAGATGTTGACTGTCAGTCACTTTGGTCCACAGGAAGAGAGAGAAGACATGTTACCACAGCTGTTATAACAGTTATGTAACATCTTCAGAAGATAGTCATCTGAGATTCTCTCCGTTCTAGCTTGAGAAGTCTTTGGTCATATCCAGCCCTTGTGCCCCAGAGCAGCTTTTTTCCTATAACGAGGGATCTACAAAGGCTTGTTGAATTGACTTTTGTCGAATTTCAGCCAGGGCAGGAGCTTTCAGAAGCCTTTCCTGCATCAAGCAGTGACTGGCGGTCTGGGGTGGGATTGTAAATTCATGCTGAGTTGTGATCATTTTACTTTAGGTCCCATGTCTGGCAGGGACAGTTTAACAGACTTTCCTTCAGAGGTTGTTGTGCTTCTTTGCCTCTTAGCATTAGGGGTGGCAACGGAGATGGTCTAGTTAACCCCCAAGTGCTCAGTGTTTGTTCACTTCATACTAGAGGCATGTTGTGGTCACGTTTCCATCATCTGAGGTCTTTAAGGATCTGCCTTCACCTGGTGACTGATGTTTATCGGTTCCTAGTTTCCTTCCTGTTTCAGACTTGCTGTTGGAAATCTTTCTCTGTGCCTCTCTTTTGGTGTTCTTGGAGCTGCTAGAATATAAATCTTTACATTTACTACCAACTTGTTAGAAAATGTAAATAAGTTTTAAATAGAGATTCTAGTCTCAGCCCAATATTCTTAAAAGAACAGGAATTTCTAAGGACACACACATACAGACACACAGACACACATACAGAACATACATACATACACAGACAGACACACACAGAGATACACATATGCAGACACACACATACAGACAGACATACACAGACACACATAGACACACACATACAAATGCATACAGATATAGACACACACAGAGACACACACACACAAATAGACACACAGACACACACAGACACACATATACACACACAGACACACACAGGCACACATACAGACACACACATATATACACACAGCAGACACACACAGAGACACACAGAGACATGCACACATATATACACACACAGAGACACACACATGCACACACACACAGACACACACACATACAATCTGAAGTCCGCAGGATAGTTTTAAAGCGTAGCATAGCACAGTCAGTTTGTTTAGTGTGTAGATGCTGTGCAAATGTCAAAATTCTTAATCGTGTAGAAAGTTGATTCAATAGACTAACTTTCTGTGCAAGGAAGACCTCAGGAAACTCAATCTCCTCGCCCACCCCACAGGGTCTTCTCTCTCCTTGACAGTGGAAGCCAGGGCTCACACAGAGGGTCTCCAGAGGGAAGGGAGAGGTGAAAAGTTGGCTGCAATGTCTGACTCTTCTGACAGGGCATTCTTAATATTCTTTTTGATTGAATCTGTACATAGACCTTTGGGAAAGAATTTCAGATGGATGTGGAAGTTGTTGGTCATTCCCAAGTTAAACAGTTTGGTTGGGGAAATAAGTAATTTTTTTCTCTGAATAAACTTCACAAAACATCATAAAATCACAATGCATTGTACATTGATTCATGAGCCCTTCTTAAGTTTCCACAAATGAACACATTTCCTTACATTGAGACATGAATGGCAATTTAAAACTGGTTTCATGGATAACTCATTTTCGCCATTTTTTTTCTCAACTTCACCTACTTGCTAAATCTAAAGGCAGAGAAAGAAAGTTTTACTGTTTCAATGCTGACATTCTTCCCTCCCTGAATGTAGGATACTGTGATTGCTATCACCTGAGAATCACATATGCGCAGGAGGGAAAAATATCACAGAAGTAGCTTCCAAAGTTGATTCACTAGTGCTGTTGCAGTCTACCCAGCTTTGGAACAACAGCAACGTGTAGTCAATAAAGTGTTTTATTTCCCCCACCAAGGAGGTGGTTGTTCAGAATTAAAGGATACTTTAAATATCATGCATTTATGATATTCAGCTATTTTTTTTAATTGACTAAGGGACAGTGTTGTTCTTCTTGAGAAGGTGCTGGCAGCTAGCCAGCTTATGCTGAAATTTGGGAAAATATATCAACATATCCATTTTGTGATTCTAAAGGGACTTCAGGGGGATAGACTCCTATAGGACTAAAACAAATTGTTGGTGACTGAACTTATCAATAATACAACATGGAAAGATGGTAATCTGAGGAGTAATTTAGTTTTGTGGGAAACTCTAAAGTCTGATGCAAAAATATATGTTCTCTATAATAGACGTAGGCAGATGGTGAGAGATGGAATGCTGTTATCCCATTGCGCAGTTTAAGGTTACAAAGCCCAATAGACACACACTAAAAAAGGTAAATTAAATCCCCTTTAACAAAAACAATACAGCAACTCCTAAGTTCTTTATTGCTAAGAAGTATTACATAACTATTCTGAAATTATCTTTATTATCAATTGTTTTTCCCTGGACATTGGGTAACAGAAGACAGAGGAAATCGAGGTAAATTAGGCACATAGAAAAGAAAAAGCATGTAGTCATTTTTTTTTTTACATTGTAACATATTTCTGCGCTAAGAGTAGATAAAACAAATCAATGTCAACTTGACATAACAAGCATGGCGACACTAACCAGTTCCTCACATCACTGTGACACTGTGGCTGTCACACATTTAAGCTGAGAATTTAGTAATGCTGGCTGCACATGGAGTAAGTATAAAACAGGGTCATTTTTATGAAATGAAGCATGTAGACACTGTTGTCTAGTTTGGCTAACAAATAAGCATACTATAGAAAAGCACTTAAGTGCTATAGATGTTATAACGCATATGGTAACCTACTGATAAATAGCATAATCTAATTTTAAAAACCTAAACGTTTGGCTAAGAAGCAATTTCTTTGACTTTTAAACCAACAACTTTTCTGCTTGATAACTTTTACTAAAAGTTTTATAATTTTAAATGGAGACTAAAAGTAAAACTATTTTTAGAGACTACTTTTATTCCCTTTAAACTTTTTTAACTTTCTAAATTATCTTTTCTCTAGTTTTTAGTGAGTTTTGTTGAATAATACAGTAAGTAACAGCAATAGCATATGAGATCTCATTGTATGCTGTACAGTTTTACAATAGATGATGCTTGCTTAGTTTTTAGAGTTTTCAAGGTAACTATTTAATAAAACACTGTTTGTATTCATAAAATAAAACTTGCCTCCCCAACATGCCAAATTAAAACACACATACACACGCACACGTGCACATGCACACACACACCCATTATCATTAGTTCACTGACACGCTATGGGCCATTTACTACATATTATTTTATAGCTTTTCCAATGTAGTTTAGTTAACACTTTAGAAATATGTATTATTTCTAAGTTCATATGCCTGTTTAAACTTCATTATCTCAAATGATACTGACAGAATGTCATGAAACAGTATCATAATATACATATAGACATTATTTTGATGCAATAAACATGTGATTTTTAAGACTTTCTTAATAAACGCACATGTTTATTCTTTGCTAAAACATGTTTCTGCAAGTGCCATACCTATATTTTGCAAGTTTCTATTTACATGATGAGATAGTATTGCTGACTATGTTGCTTTGAAAGCTCCTTATAATTAGGAATGAGAGCCCTCACAGATAAAGTCAAGGCAGCGTTCCTCCTAGGAAACCTCTCCTTCACCAAATTGACAAACTGTAAAACATGGGTTTGGCACTGAAACATGCATTTTTATATTTTTGCTCCTTATAAACCAGATAACACATGAGATGCAATGCAACTTCCACAAAGTCCACCTGTGTTGTTGATATCTCTGAGCACACGGCTGTGCGACCAGCACCAGATCTGTCGACTGTGCTGCGGTGGCGATTGCATCTTATGTGGGATGTATCTGGTGTTTTATTATTTGTTTTAGAGTGTCATTTCAATGTAATGTGCTGTTCTTTGTGTCTTTGTTGTCTCTTTTTTTTCTTTGTCCCCCCAACAGCATTTTGTCCCGCACAGGGAAGAAGGAAAACCAAGATGCCTCCAATTTGACAGTGCCCATGACCATGTGTCTTTTTCCTGTGCCATTCCCACTCACCCCATCTCTAAGACCGCAGGTCAGTTCCATCAACCCTACTGTTACTCGCTCCCTCCTTTACAGCGTCCTGCGAGATGCTCCTTCAGAACGCGGCCCGCAAAGTCGTGATGCTCAGTTGTCAGACTACCCTTCTTTGGACTACCAAGGCCTCTACGTGACTTTGGTGACTCTCCTGGATCTAGTTCCTTTACTACAGCATGGCCAACACGGTGAGCATTTTTATTGAAGTCTTTGGAAATGTCCATGTGTGCTTATGAATATTTACGATGCTGAGCAGCAGGCTTAAAGAATGTTGTTACTGTTGTAAATCTCTTGAAGGGTTTTGTGTGTTTGAAGCCTTCTGACAATGAAACTTAATAATGGTGGTTCCCACCCAGTTGTTTCACACTGTCTTGGTGCCCAGGGTTGTTATTCAAGGGTTTGGAAGAAGGAGATGATGGACTGGAGACAGGGGGATAGAGCAAGCAGCTCCCTTCCCTGATCAGTGTATTATGGGGACTCTTGTTAAAGCCACGTTTGAGAAGTTGAGTTTAAAACCTTGCTTGCCCCAGAAAACATAAGAGGCTGCTTTTGAAGAGCAGGCTCTAATCCTTGACTGTTCTGGGAGTTTTGGGGGCAAATCCAAGTTTCTCTCCAGGACTCATTTTTCCTGGTAAAATAAATGCCTAAGAACTCTTCCAGCATTTACTGCAAAATGCTGGGGCAAGAATGACAGCCCATGGTGTGATGGCGATGTCTAGAGTGGAAGCTGGTGAGCATGCTTTCTCTCATGGCCCAATCCGACTGTGTCTTCCCATTGGCTGCCCACTCTGTTCTTTCAAATAGAGTGCAGTGATGTTCGTTTAGCTATCCAATATGGACTTGGAGGAAATTTAAAATTGAAAACTGTGTGGGGCATAGAAGTTTGTTCCTTAAATGCACTTTAGAAACCTGAGCTGTCATTAAAACATTTGCCATTTGGTCCCTGGAAGTGTGATAACCGAAGTTTCATTGTATGGAAAAGCGAGCTTTGGAAACATGTGGGTGGTGGGGATTATTTTATATTTTAATATGGCTGTCTGTCCTAAAAGAATGTTTAATGGCTGATTTAGTATGAAGTGTTTGTAATTAAAATGTTAAAAAATAGTTTCCTTTCATAAAGTGATGAAATGCCTATTACTGCATTTGCTTTTCTTGTGTTGACGATGCTGTAGTGTAGTGAAGATAAAAGTGTAGAAGTCTGTAAAGTTGCTTATCTTGAACTCCTTTGCTGTCTTGAACTGACCAAGCCTCTCGTAGTGCAATCCTCTCCCAGCTCAGAACCTAGATGAGACAAACTGGAAAGGCAGACTGTGGGAGCTTGCAGGCCTCAAGTGACACTTGCGGAGACTCATTTGTGCCTGTGCTCTGTGGTACCCAGTCCTAAGTGGACTCACATGTTCCTGTGGAGGTCTCCTGGGCCAGAGTAGATGCCCTTTATTTTTAAGATTTCTTGATTGTGGTATTTAACTTGGTAAATGGAAATCCACATAACATGTGAATCTTGACAATTTTAGTATTGATGGTTTATGTTTTTGCTCTCATGCTATGCTTGCCTTGTGACCTTATCTTGATATTTATTTATTGTGTTCTTCTTCTGCATAATATGGCTTAGAAGCTAGAATAGAGCTCACCAGTGTTCCAGTGAATGGTTTAGAGAGACCAGGCAGCACATTTCTCTCAGGGCTCTCTGCACAGCCTGAGCTATCATAGGGGAACTTGGAACGTGCACTTTTTCAGCCAGAATTACTGAGGAGTGGTCCTGGCAGCCGATGTTTTGAGCGAGCTTCTTGTGAAGCCTCTTCTGTGAACTGAGATAGAGAATAATTGAGTGCTCCATGGCTAGAGGCTCTGTCCTCATTCCGGGTCCAGGTGGCCTATAGGAATGAGCAGGAGTAATTCAACTATGGCTGAACTGTGATTTGGCAGACACTACTCTCTCCAGATCTCAGTTTCCTTGGGTAGAAAATACCCCAGGTGGACTTACAGGCACTTTCAGTGCTGTTAATCTGTAATCAAGCTTTTTAGCCTAAGACTAAAAAAAAGCTCAGTGAACATAGCTGAGGTATTTTATGCACAGCCTCATGGATTTCCCACAAAACACCTGTGAATTTTCCACTTGTTGGTCTGAGCTCAAAGGCGATGGACCTTGGCCCCCCAGGTTGCATGTTGACTACATTGTCTGTTGACAGGCCATTTGATATGGTATTGTTAATGCTCATGACTATTAGAAATAATTTGAGGAATACACGTGATTCTGGAAGATGAATCAGGGCCAAAGCAGACCAGAGTCTGAGACTTCGATATCTTAATAAATACAGAAGTGATCCATCTTCATGCCAAGCCTTGGCTGATGGCCTATATTTTGAGAGGTTCAGAAATATCACAATGTACACTGAATGTAATGGATTTATTCTTCATACATTCTAAAGCTAAATAGTCGTGGTTTGTTTTGAAGGTCCTCTATTTTTACTTTTCATGCAGGTAACAATGATAGTAATATTAATGGCAATAAGTAATAGCTATTGTTTTTTGGAGTACATGCTATGCTATGCTGAGTTCTTTGTATTTATTTCATCTAAACTCCTATGAAGCCAGGTAGGTATTGTTATTATCTGCATTTTAAAGCCTTGAGAAATTATTTTGAGGAAGGCCATCTTTCCTGGCAGTTAACAACTAAATGCACAGAGTTGTGCAATGCCAGCTCATAGCTTCCTTTTTTTCAAAGCACACCAAGTCTGGAGGTTGCAGACTACCTTGTGCTGCTTGAGACTTCAGGTGTAGTACCAATGTGGCTTGGTTGGTATAGCAGAAATGGCCAGGTTTTAATTTCTAATATTGCCCTAGACTTCTCTTAAAATCCTAGTGGGCACATCACTGTATTTCAGTTATCTTTATGAAATGCCATGGAGCTTAAAAAAAAAAAAAGAAAAGAAAAAAGGAGGGATGTCAGAATTCACTTTTCCCTTGAAAAGCGCTTAGATTAATGGGATCAAGGGTCATCTGAATAGTGAAGCTTATAGATGACTGATACACTGATGAGAAACTCATGGAACAGATTTATTTCTTAATATATTCACCAACTAACTGCTGTGTGTATCCCACATTCTACTAAGCAGTGTTTTTCTGAATTCTTAGTAGGAAGGGAGCAATAGCTACTTTTATAATTTAAACTAGCTTATTAAAACTGAAAATATAAGACTAGCATGTTTTTTTAATGGCACCATCTTCAGAGGCTGACTACTTAATTTTGTTTTGTAGATCTTGGACAGTCAATATTTTATACAACCACATGTTTGCTACCCTTTCTCAATGATGATGTTCTGAGCACTTTGCCCTACACGATGATCTCCACGCTAGCTACCTTTCCTCCATTTCTTCACAAGGATATTATTGAATACCTTAGCACATCTTTTCTACCAATGGCCATATGTAAGTTCAATCTCACCTAATCCTAAAATAATCTTTATATATTATACAAATGGAAACTGTGTTTACTGTTGTAGGTGCCTAACTTTCAGGACTGTAATGGAATCACTTGATATGTACACCTGCTGTGATTAAATTGTGTTGTTTCAGCATTTACATTACATGGGAAGTCAATGATGTGAAAGACGATTATACCTTAGAGTCATCGTGTTATTCACTCAGTTTGCCTCCATGGAATAGGAAGAGTATGATGGAAACAGAATGTTTGATAGTATGATAGAAATAGAAATAGAATATCAAAGCATTCTGTTTCCTGCTTTATGAATTACAGTGTCTTTTTCCACATTAGAAAAGAAGGTGGACAGATTGTCACCTGGTCAGATTGTCACCTGGTGTGGAGACTGCTCTCTTCTGCATGTGAAGGCATTTGGGGGGGGGGGGCATGGAGAGGGTAGCTGAGAGTGGGGAAAGGTAGACTCTATCTCGGGTGGCTGTGGAGTTTTGTGTAGCTCAGTTCACTTGGTTGAAATCTAATTCGATGCTGATGACCAGATCAGCTTTCCTGCTCAATATATATATATATATATATATATATATATATATATATATATATATATCTTTTTCGAGACAGGGTTTCTCTGTGTAGCTTTGCGCCTTTCCTGGAACTCACTTTGTAGACCAGGCTGGCCTCGAACTCACAGAGATCCGCCTGGCTCTGCCTCCCGAGTGCTGGGATTAAAGGCGTGCGCCACCACCGCCCGGCCTGCTCAATATTTTAATGACAAAATGAGTCAAAATTTATGAGATGCTTTGAAAAAAAGCCAACGCCCATGACTCCTGTGCAAGATATAGTCGCAAGCCTGGGTCCAGTCTTGTTTGTTTATTTATTAACATTTTTGGAGACAGGGCTTCATTACTCTAGGTTGACCTGGAACGTGATTGGTTAGGTAGTCAAGAATGTCTTTGAATTCTTGATCTGCTGTCTCGGACTCCCAGGGGCTGGAATTATGGGTGTGTGCCACCATACCTGACTTCTTTTCCACTTTTATCCACATAATTCTGCAGCCTTCTCAGACATGAAAGCAAAAAGAAGACAATGCTGAATTGTAGCTTCTGTGATCACAGTCTCTAAAGTGTTCTTTAGAAGTGTTTCAGGGAATAATCTGAAAAAATTACGGCTTTAGAATTCAACCAGATCAAGAGGCAAATCTGAGCGCTGCCACTGGCTGGCTGTGTGAACTTAGGCAGGTGCCTTAAATCTTTGATTTTTATCTGTCAAATAGTAATCATAGCTTCCTCGCAAACAATCACAGCTCCTTTGTGAAAAGTAACCTTAGCTGCCTCACAAGTAGTCATTGTGGCTGTATCTTGAGGTGTCAAGGATTGGCATAATTAGCCTGGGACATTGGTAGAGTGCCACCACGGACCCTGCTGTGCAGTAGGTCTTACTCACTTCTCTCTCTCTCTCTCTCTCTCTCTCTCTCTCTCTCTCTCTCTCTCTCTCTCTCTCTCTCTCTCAAAATAGGGTTTTCCTATGTACCCTGGTTGGTCCATTATTATGTCACTTATGGCTACCCTCCTGCCTCAGCCTCTTGAATACTGGGATTATAGGTGTGCACTGTCCTATCTGCTTCCCTTCTCTTGATTTTTTTAAAAATAAAAGTAGCTCTATTGGTTATGTCTAACTCATAATATCAGTGCTAGCCACATTAAGTTATGTACTTAAGCCCTTATTAAGGTGTGTGTCAACAACTAGCAAACACGTATACCTTTTGGACTATAGTGGCTTTTCTTATAGTTGAGTTTAATTTAGGTATAGAACTGTAATTTTCATGTCTTTTTAGCAAAGAGTCTGACTCTTTGCTAATAATTAAAAATATTTAGTATTGCTAAATATTTAGCATTGCTAAAATAATATTTAGCAAATATTTAAGTATCAAATATTTGCTAAAATATCCTAATTATTTAGCAACAGGGAAAAATGAGCAGACTGATGATGTCATTCCAAGTTGTAGAATATTTCATTTCACTCTGTCTCACCTGTGCGATCTCAGGAACCAGTGCTCCCTTGTGGATATAGTCTTAGAATTTTGTGATCTTATTTTTAAATAAATAATGTTGACTGTTAAGCAAATGAACAGGCATCTTTAAAAAAAAAAAGACTAACGGCGAGACTGTGTCTTCCTGACAATAATCTAGCTTACTGTGTCCCTAGTCCTTAGGAATAAGTTAGTAATTTGTGGGGAGACATTAATGCAGTGAAGATTGCATTAATGCACTAATGCACTGAAGATTGATCAGGTACTGTCAGCTCGTGTGTTTGTTTGTTTGTTTTTTTTCAGAGCTGGTGACTAATTCTTCCTTAATTAGAAATAGAGATTCCCAGACATAAACCTTGTCATGTTAAAATCCTTGCTTTACACAAATATCTGAAGCAACTGAGTACTAAAAATGAGTGATACAAATCTAAAAAAATTTGTGTGAATTTCAGTGTTTATTAGCGGAATGACTCGATATTCACTTGAAGGTATGAGCAAGTTACTTCATGTTTCTGAGACAGTTTTTTTTTTTCAGCTTTAGAAGGGGGGGCATGTTCAGAAAACAAGTTGGGTATCCCTGGTTATTTCTGGCTTAATAATGCTAGGTTGAATAACATCAATGTTATTTTATATAATTGGCATATGCATTTGTCTACCCCATTTGTAGACCTGGCTCATATGTTTATTCGGTCACTCTGGTTTTAGTCTGTTAGTTTGGACTTGGCTTCACAGCACCCTCCTGGTAGTTCAATAGTAGCTGAACTTTGTCATCTTTGAAATGAGTTGTAGTGGGAGTCTGCATTCTGGCTGTTAGATTATTGAGTTGTTTCTTTTACATAGACCTAAAGACAGAAGGGATAGACTTTCAGATTTGTGCTAAAATGGACTGGGTGAGGATGTAGGTCTTTATTATTTTATCCACACTGTTTCTATTTTTGGTAGCTGTTACAGTATCTAGAGCTTCAAACTGAAACAGGACAGGGGCATTTAACTGGGTCCAGGATGTTTTTATTTCAGTACAAAGATGTTAGAATAAAAGATGTTGCATTTTCTAAATGCTTGATGGTCTTTGCCAGAAGGACCTACAGGGGCATTGAAGGTGCAAGTTTGTACTGCTAGCACTTGGGAGGCTGAAGCAGGAGGATCACTACAAGTCTAAGGCCAGTGAGACCCTGATGCAAACAACAAACAACACAAAACAAAATTGACAGGAAGATGTTAAAAAAAAATCTCTCTTTGGTGTGGTATTCTTATAGTCAATGTAAAGCATGGATTTTTTTTTTCAGTTTTTAAATGAGTGTCACTAATGATTATATAATTGCTGATTATATAAGTGCTGATCATATTGTCTGTATTACTTAGATGATGCAGTCTTGAGCTTTGAAGTGGATCCAATTCTTCAAACCAAGCATTGGATGTGTAGCATAATACCGCTTATGCCATCCTCGTTACCACACTAATCGTTTATGCTTTTACTTTTAAATAACTTACCAATTTATTATAAAAATTACCCTTGACATGTTTTTCATAGTAACTCCTTCCATGAATAAAATGTAGCTCTCTTTGTTCCATATATGTGGAATCTATGTTGTTTATGAAAGTATATTAAAAGTTACTAAGAACTGAAAAAACAAATCATTTGCACATCACCATGGAAACCTGTCTTTTCCTAATGAAGGATTTGTGATTTGTTGTCCAAATTGAAATATGGATCTTTGGAAGATGATAGTTTGATATAATTTAAATGAGCATCCATTAATGTAATTTAAATAAGTATCCATTAATGTAGGCTGTCTTATTTTGAAGAAAGAAACAATGCTGAAGAGTTGCAGCATCCTGGACTGTTCTGTCTAATCTAGTGTCTTCACTACCTTAGATTTTCTCAGTCACTGACTGTTAGGAAAAAGCAAAGCTCGTGCAAATCTTAGTGTTGACTTAAAAACAACCATATGACTTCACTGAATACCTGGTTCTAGGCTTTGGTTTTTATTGTTTTGTTTTGGCTACCACATGGAACACGTGGTAGAGTTCTATGGTCTTATGAAGACTAAACTTACACAGAAAAAAATAATACAAGACAAGCCCTTGATGATATTTGAATAACCATTATCATGCATAGTCCACTTATTTGCTAATGATTGTATTCACAAGGTTGGTGTTGCTGTAAAAGCTTTATTATTGAACTGTGAATAATGTTTGGTACCAGGATTCATTGGGGGCAGAACTATAGTCCTTTGGCTTTTCACAATTCTCTCTCCCTCACTCAACTTTTATTTTCTTAGATACAGGATTGTCATTAATTATAACTTGCTCTCTCTACATTCTGTCTTTGTTGTGAAGACTGCGAGATGAAGGCCATATGGGACTGGAATTTGAACATTCAATGATGTGCAAATACATAATGGAGCAAATGCACAGGCAAATCATAGACATATTAATTAAATCACATTGCAATGGATCCTGACACTTCTCTACTGAGATTGTTTATGTTGTTCTGAAGATTTTCCCTCTTAAACACACTGCTGAGGCAAAGGGCCATCCAGGAGAGGCGGACCTTCCCTGCCTTAATCTGTCACTTATGTGATAGTTCACATAAAACCACAGCAGGTTTTGCACTCGTAGTACTTGTGAAGTCGGACATCTTGCTTCATTAACCAAACCAGCAAGGATTTTAATGTGGCATAGACTTTAGAGTCATGTGATCCTGGTATTGTCTTTTAGTTTAGCTGATGCCTTCTGAAGTCATGACTCTATCTAACAGAAACCTTCCCTAATGGAGCACAGCCATCTCTGCCTGTACAAGCCCAAAGCCTGCAAAGGAGAGGCCACTTCTCTAGCCAGATAATGCTATCTGACCAACTGTAGGAAGTGGCTCTATCACATGTACTAGGAGTTTCTTCACCCTAGTTGACTTCCTTATCTTTATCATTTAGAAGGCTATAAGGCTAATAGAGTGTAGCTAGAAGTTTCTCTGGTCCCTCCTGGCCCGTGGTCCAGACGAATTTCTCTCACCCGCGGTCCCACAGCTGCTTATAAAATAATCACTCAGAGGTTTAATATTAATTACTAACTGGATGGCCTATGGCTCAAGCTTCTTGCTAGCTAGTTCTTATAACTTAACTCAACCCATTTCTACTGACCTATGTATCGCCATGCATCTATGTGTTCCACAGCTTTACCTGTGTCCCATTACGTGTTGCTCCATTGATGGCGGGCTGGTGTCCCCTTCCCTCTGCCTTTCTTTTCTCCCTCTCTCTCTTGGATTTTCCCACCTGGCTCCATCCTGCCCTGCCATAGGCCAATGCAGCTTTATTTATTAGCCAATGTGAGCAACACATATTCACAGCATACAGAAAGACATCCCACAGCAATGGGGTTTATTTCAACCTATCTTATCTTAGACTATACCTTATGGTGGTCATTCGGATCAGACCAATAGCTTCAGGTCTGGTCTCTCTACTTCCTTGGTTAGGCTTCCTGCTGCCTGTTCTTTACCCCAAACCCAGAGCTGCCTTCCAAACGTGGATTAGATTATGTTACATCCCTATTCCAAACCATCTAGCTTCTTGTCACTCTTAACAACCAAATTCAATGACCTTACTTGGCTCACATGATTCTCTGTGCTCTGGCTGTGGCCAGCCTCACTACTGTCATCACTGCTTCTTCATGGGACTACTCTGCATGTCTGCATCAGCCTTTCTGCGACATTACAAAGGCTTTTGTGCTTATACAGTTTCCCTTGTCTCAGAGCCTGTCTAAATGGTCTCATAATGTGTTTCCTTCAGGTCTCAGTTCAAGTACCACATCTTTTAAAAAAATGTGTGTGTGTGTGTATGTATGCAGGAGAAAGACAGAGACACACAGAGAAAGAGACAGACACAGAGAGAGACACACACAGATAAAGAGACAGAGAAGGCAGAGAGAGAGAAACAGAGAGAGATACAGAGGCCAACATTTGGGAGTCAGTTTTCTGTACTGTGTTGAGGCAAGATGTCCTTTGGTGTTTCTGCTGCAGCTCTGTGTACTCCAGGCTAGGTGGCCCAAGATTACTGGTGGGTTCTCTAGTCTCTGCCTCCTATCTCAGAGTTCCAGGGCTTCAGATGCCTGCTATGGCATCCAGCTTCTCATGCGGGTTCTGGGGATGGAGTTTGGCTGGTCAGGCCTATTGCAGCCAGCGCTTTTATCCCCTGAGCCAGTCTCCTGGACACTCTAAGGACCACACATTTTGAGCTGCCTTCCCTTCTAATATAATACAGAACCTTCCATCGTATCTTTGTTCCTTTGCCCAGATTCATGCTTTTCCAATGGCCAATGCCTGCCCTTTTCTGTAGAACAGCACTGTCCATGGAACTTTCTCTGATAATGGAAACAGAAATAAAATTCTATGCCGCCTCATGCTGTAGTCACTACCACCTAGGGTTACTAAGCACATATGATGTGTCTAGTGAGGCTGAGGAATGTAATTTTAAATTTTATTTAATCTTAACTAATAGACACGGCCACCCACAGCTAATGGCCACCACATTGCATAACCCAGCTCTGGCAACGATCTTCCTTACTGCTGTAAGCAAGGGCCCAGAATAATTCCTGGTGCAGTTCTATGAAAAAGTAGTGTGTGACCAAATGATTGGTGCATTAGCTATGAATGTACTTGTCTTGGACTGTCACTGTCCCAGTAATTAGGCTGGTGCCTTCCTGCAGCTAGTTCATCTCTCACTTATAAAATGGCTTCTGTCATCTGCTTACTCCGAAAGGTAAGAATCATGTTAAGAACTGCACATCTAGCACATTAGGAATTGTCATATGCAGGCACATGTTCACGGGAGGAAGGCATGATGGTAAGTTTTGTTCTGATGCTATTGGGGGAGTAAGGGGAAGGCCTGGAAACTTTTAATTATATTTCCTGAGCACAATAGTCTCTTCCCTTTAATTGTATGTGGTTTTGTTTTTTTGTGCTCTCACGGGATCGAGCTGCGTATCTGTTTACATCATGCCTTTTAAACAAGATTCAGTAAATGATGTGTGCTTGTGCATGCTTATTAAATTACAGCCATGGTGATTTTATTCGGTCTTGTAGAAGGCTTTGAAATTGCAAGATACCGTCTGTTTATATAAGTATTGGAGCCAATTTCCTGGGGCTTGTGTCCTAGGGGAACTCTTTGGCTTTATGGTTGGCCATACTTGAGGGACAACATAGATTTGCAGAGGTAACAGGGACATCCAAAGGTCGCTGAGCCATCTGGGCAGATCTCCAAACAGACTTCACTTAAATCATCCGAGACAGTTGGGCATCTCTCCCATTTTTAAAGGCCTCTGGGCATAATGGTTCTCAGCCTCTCTGACCATTTTCATTGTTGAAAAATGCTTATTATTAAAAAGTTTGAGTTAAATTTAAATAAAGGTGAAAATACTTGTCACCAAAAGAATATACATGTGGCGGGGCGGGGGTGGGGGAGAAGAGAGGAGAGAGAGAGAGAGAGAGAGAGAGAGAGAGAGAGAGAGAGAGAGAGAGAGTCCTGATGTTGAGTATGCTGGAGTAGGCATTCCTTTCTTTTCTTCTTCAACAAAGGGCACAGGAATATTGTATATGTGCTCACTCTTCCCAGCCCTGGGAACTGGACTAGGCGTCCCCTTGCTTACCTCTCATCTCTCTAATAGTATTTCTCAAAGGCATATCCAAGGCCGATTTGCACGAGAGCCAGCCATGTGCTTATTAATTTAACAGAGGGTTTCCAATTTTCCACACTGACTGAGCTAGGATCTCCAGGTGTGGACCCTAAGAAGCTGAATTTGAAAAGGCTGAAGATGGCAAGCAGTGGGTCTTGTTCTTCAGCATGTGGTTCAAATTCTTTCTTCCTCAGTTTATCCCATTTGATTAGTCCTCCTCACCCCCCCCCCCCCCAGGGCAGTGTGCTGCTCTCTGGATCAACCTTGTCTCCTGATCAGCATTTGTTTATAGTGTAGAGTCACACAGACTATGTCCCTGAACACCACCAGGCCTGTGAATTCCATACACAGCCATGGGTGATTAATAAACGCATACTCCGGCTAGTGGAATTCAGTTAGGGACCTGTTATGTTGGTTTGTGTCTCTCAACCTGTTGCAAAGACCACTGCCCCTTATAGCATCAGAAGTTCTTGACGTGGAAACAAAATAGAATCCTGTTAAACTTCCTGTCTTTGCTGCATGGCAACTCCTTTCTAGTGCTTCAGTGTTTGTTTACCGAGAGCCTTGTTTACTGAGAGCCTTGTTGCACTGGTTTGTTCTTTTTAGATGTAAATGAGACGTGCTCCCCATACACTGTATATATATATATACACAATATAAAATAAAGCAGCGTCTGAGGTTATCTGCTTTCGATTGTCTGCATCAGTGGTCTTTAGTATGTACAAAACAGTGTTGACTTGGTGAGTCTTTACCTTCTGTATGCTGTTTTTTTTTTTTTCCTGTTGGACAGCTTGGTATATAAGTGTGTTTATAAGAGGTTTCTCCTACTTCTTCCATTATCTTTACGGAAAAAGGAATTGATTTTGTATTTAAATCTTAATAAAAGTCTTCCTTTTGTGGGGGTCCTCTCCCTTATTGCTGGCATAAAAATACCCTTTGGCTGAAAACATGTTATACCAAATAACTTTCATCAGAGGTAGTTTTGAATACTTATGGAGTTACCTAGTATTTTCCATTAAATAGACACAATTTTTATATAGTTTGATGTCAGTCATCATGAACACGCCACTTAAAGATGCGTTTAAATCAGTGTGCAAGTGGATATCACGACTATACAGTCATTAGGTGAATGCTGAAGGCGCCTACTTGCATTGCAATTGGACATTTGTTGCCAAAGGAGAAACGTGATTCACAGTTATTCAGATTCAAAGGAGCGCTTTGTTCTAAACAATCAGATCAATGTGAGGGTAGATTGGAAACGGCAAGTGATTTCCTGTGGTAATAGAGACAGTGATGGGGTTCTATGGAAGGTTGGAATCCAGCTGTGTAGTCCCTGAAAACTGTTTAAAAACCAATGTGATAATTTTCATGATATGTGACTTAACATTTGTATGTACAACTAAACAAGAAGTTATATGTTATGTGAGTCTTATTTGCCTACCTCTCCAAGTGTTAATATGTCCTAGTTGGTTTTGAAATCTTCTACTTTCTTGTGAGGTTAACCGCTAACATGTTTATGTACCCTTCATATTTGGTCCCGCAGAAGGTTCTGCTTCCTTCCTTTCTTTTATAGATACGAACATCTTGGGAATAGAGATCAGCTCTGACAAAGCCATTATATTCTGGTTTTGTACCTCCTCCGTGTGGCTGTGCTCTAGATGTTTTTTACAGTGGCACACGATGGTAGCGTTTGTATGCAAGGAACAGTGCTGTGGTTTTATTTCTGTGAATTTCGATTGGCTTTGGGGATGGAGAAGTGCCTGAGTTTGTAGAGTGCTTCCCTCACAAGCACAAAGCCCTGGGTTTGATCACCAGCATTCCATAAACCGGGTGTAGAGGTGCATGCCTGTACCCCAGCTCTGAGAGGTGGAGGCAGGACGCTCAGGAATTAAAGGTCATCTTGACTATAAAAAGTTTAAGGCTAGCCGGGGGTACATGAGACACCATCTTAAAAAAGGAGGAAAGAAAAGTCAACAGTCCTCCCAGCTCAGTTGGAACTTTCTCGTGAAGCTCTTTCATGGTTCTATGTAAGGTAGCAAGTATGTGCTCATATCTAGAAATTAATTTGTATCTAATCAGAAAATTTTGTTTTCAGTGGGTTCCTCCAGGAGAGAAAGCGTCCCAGCCCATGTGAACCTCTCTGCATCCGCCATGCTAATGATTGCAATGCAGTACACATCTAATCCAGGTAAGCAGGAACCTGGCAGCTTGAGCAGCTCCCAAACTGCGACATCTAGCAGACAAGATAGAATCTTTTATGTGGGAGCTTCTTCTGGCAGAAGAGACAATTGATGTGTTAAAGGCGGACTTCGGAGTTAAAATAAACTTATCTATAGTTAGTAGTAGTGATCTGGTTTGCTAGGGAATGTTTTAGAATGTTTGATGATGAAGTTTTAGATGCCTGGAAATCGATGACTGTATAGAAGAAGTTTAATTAAAAATATAGAGCTAGGTGGTGGTGGCACATGCCTTTAATCTCAGCCCTTGGGAAGCAGAGGCAGGTAGATCTCTGTGAGTTCGAGGCCAGCCTTGTCTACACAGTGAGATTCAGGATAGCCTGGGCTACACAACACAGTGAAACTCTGTCTCAAAAAATCATATATATATATGGAGAGAGAGAGAGAGAGACTAAGGATGGTGTTGTGGCTCATGCCTATATTCTTAGCACTTGGGAAGATAAGGCAAGAAAATTGTCATTATTTCTAGGTTAACCTGGGCTATAGAGTGAGATCTTGTCTTACGCACACACACACACACACACACACACACACACACACACACACTGTATATTACTTGTTTTGACTAATGCATACATGCATATATGATATATATTTGCTGCACTATATTAACTGCTAATGGCAACTATATCAACGATTTGGGTAAATTTGCTTTGCTAATGCCATAGAAATCTCTGAACATAAATCTCTTACCAATTTCAGGTTTTTCATAGGACAAATTGATGAAAAGGGATACATGATTTAATGGGTTAGAAACATTTTAGTATTCTTCTAATTGTGTGAGAGAAAACAGTTGTTTCATGGTGACGTATCACTTAGCATTATCATGAAAGTTGTATTCGACTTGAGTAGCTGAAGAACACTAGTTCACCTTTGTTTTTGTGTCTGAGAGCCCTTGTGATGTTGGATGGGTTTGCCCATGCTGTACTCTGGTTGTGTTGGTCAGGGTAACTGCCAATTGATTTGGAGGAACTGACCTAAAAGGCAGCTCACTGTTGAAGTGGTGTGTTAAGATATGAACTCTGCCATTTATTTTCACATTGTGTTTGTTTGAGAAGTAAGAAAATTTTATGACATTGTTTTTAGTCTGTTTAAGTAGCATAATAATTGAGTTTTTATTTGAAAACTTTTATTTAAAAATAAACATAATATTTTAATTCTTTGAGAATTTCGTACAATGTATTTTGTTCATATTCACTAATACGTCGTAGTCGTAGACTCGTCCTGTGTGTGTAGTTTTGTTGTTTGAGATGGAGTCTTACTATATTGCCCAGGCTGACCTCCTGGGTAAGTCAGTTCTCCATCTTCAGCCTCCCAAGTCCCTGGAATCCAGGAAGGTGCTATCTTTTCTTCTGTTTTAGTCCCCTTGGGCTACCATAAGAAGGCTTAAGACAACAAAAACTTGTTTCTTAGAGTTCTGGAGGCCAGGAAGTCTAAGATCAGGGTCCTAGCAGATTCACTGTCCGGTGAAGACTTACTCCCTGGTGTTTGAATGGCCATACTTGTGCTGTCTCCTCTGTCAAAGGAAGGAGAAATGGGTTCTTTGGAGCTTCTGTGACAAAGACACTGATCATATTTGTGAGGATGCTGTCCTCAGGACCTCAGTGCCTCCTAAAGACCTCCATCTCCTAAAATTATCATATCAAGGCTAGGATCTAACATGTATTTTTGGGAACACAGATATTTGATTTATCAGCATCCTACCTTATCTCCCTAATTTTACATCCGTTTCACACCTGTAATATACTAATTCCATCTTGACAACCAATTCCACTATCAACTCAAAACTCTGAGGTCCAACAGCTCATGTACCTACAATCCAAATCCATAACTGTCAGACTGGAGGCTTGATTTATCCCAGAATGATCTGCTCTTTGGCTGTGCTGTGAATGTATGAAAACAAATATGTTACATGCTTCCAAAATATAGCTATGAGGGCTGGGGCTGCAGATCAGTGGTAGTACACTTGCTTAGTTAGCATAGGGGCATTTGAGGGTTAAATCCTTAAACAAAAGCAAACAGACAAATAAACAGTAAAATGCAGTGGTAGGCCAGCCAGAGAATAGGCATTCCCATCCCAAAGGAGGAAGGGTGAGTTTGAAACTCACCATCAAACCTCAACCTTGTACATACTCTTCTTCGACTTGATCTTTCTAGACCCATAGTGGTGACAGTCTTGTCTCCTCTGTTGCTTTGGCCCCAAGCTTCTAGTAGTCCTGCCACCAAAGCTTTAGGCAACCTGGCTTCCGTTGGTCTGCTGGGAATTACCTTAGTGGGGCTTCCTATGGTGACTGTCTCTGTGTCTACCTTAATTCCACCTGCAGTGGGGTCTGGTGCCCATGGCTTTTCAGGGTATCCTTTGAATGCTAAGTGGAACTATCAATGCACCTACTGCTTTGTTGTGTGTGGTGTATGCCACTTTGGGACCCAAAGAGCTTCATTTTGGCAGCTAAAGAATAAGGCATTAGAGTGAAGGAGCTAGGTATAGCCTGCGGTGAGATACTCCACTTGCTGGTGGCCCCTTGAAGCCATATTGTACTTGGCTCCTTGTTCTCTAGGCCTCTGATGGGAGGAGCAGTTGTGATGAGTTCTAAGTTGTCTTTGGGATTCTTGGACCACAATGTGTGGCTTCTCCTGTGAGGGTTGACTAATGTGTTTCCTAGCTCCCTGGTCATACACCCAGTGGTCTCTCCTCCCAGGTTTTCTCATCCTTTCAATGCAGATAGTCTGGGGAGTTTCCAAACTTCCAATTGGTTTCTTCGTTGGTGAACAATTCTGATGGAAGTCATTTCTTTCTTCTGCAATTTTACTGTAAATACTCAGAAAACAATAACAGAAACAGAAAAAAAAAAAAACCCTAACCTCGTTTAGCACTTGCCCAGGGATTTCCTCAGCCAGTTTCATCCCTCACAAACTCTGCCTTCCATAGTACACCAAGACGTGAACACAATGTGACCAAGTTCTGCCACTTTATGACAAGGGTGGCCTTTCCTCCAGCTTGCAATCCCATGTTCCCCATTTCTGTCTGACACCTCATCAGAATCACCTCTACCGTTCAGTATTTTTTTTTAAAGCCAACATTCAGTTCAGCACACTTCAAGAAGAGCGAGCCTTTCCCTGCTCTTCTCTTCCTAAGCCTGCACACAGTTGTCTTTAAAGGTCTGTTCATAGTAATAGTGGCTTTTCTAGAATGTACCTCACAAATCCCCACAATTACCTAATGCCAAAGCGACTTCCCCATTTTTAGGCCTTTGTTCCAGGAGCACCCATGTCTCAGTACCAGCTCTCTGTTTCAGTCTGTTTGGGGTTTGAAGTATCCAACAGAAGCGACTCAAGGCAGGAAGGGTGTGCTTTGACTTGTAGTGTAAGGGGTGCTGACCCCTTGCCATGGAAGGCTTGGTGGCAGGAGTGTGAGCAGCTGCCATGCTATATCCACAGTCAGGAAACAGAGAGAGAGGTAAGTGCTGGAGTTCCTATTGCTTTCTCCTTTTCACTCAGTATAAGAGCCCATCCCACAAAACGGTGCCTCCCACATTCTTCCCTTCTCAGTAGAATGTCTCTGGCAACATCCTCAGAGATGTGTAGTAGTCTGTCTGCTAGGTAATTTTAAATCACACTCACATGTTAGTCAAGATTAGCTGTGACAGGGATACCTTAACAAATAATGCAACGTGAGTGGCTTATATGCATTAAATGTTCATTTCTCGTGGTTACAGAGTCTAGGAAGTTCAAGTTCAAGGTTGTCCATAGGTTTGCTAGGTAGAGGCCCATTTCCTGGCTCATAGATGAACTCATTTGTTCTGTCCTTTTGCATAGCAGAAAGGCAAGAAGATTTTTTGAGGGAGACCTTTAAAAAGTAAGAGCACTGGGGTGAGGGGGATGGAGAGATAACTCAGAAGTTAAGAGTGTATACTGTTCTTCCAGAGGACCCAAGTTCAATTCCCAGCACCCATGTTGGGCACCTCGACTCCAGGGTATCTAGCACCCTCTTTGGCCTCTATAAGTACTGCATTCACATGTACAACCTTCCATCCACATAATTTAATAATGATAATACTATCACTACTAATAAAATATTTAGAAACAAGGGCACTGACCAACTCATGGGGCCTCTGCCTTTGTGACCTAAACACATCCTAAAACCCCACCTCCCAATGATGTCACTCTGGGGATTAGAATTTAACATGTAGATTTTGACGGGTACATTCTGTCTACAACATCCTCAAATATAATATTTCTGTAATAATTATGTGAATTTAATTAAAATATTTATTTTAGGGCAAGCTATAATCTCATATCTCACTCTGTTTACCTTAAAAGACCATCAAAATACAACTCACGTTTATGATATATGTTCTGAGAGGATTCTTCATTTAGCACTAGTGAAGGAAACTCTAGTCAGGCAGCAATAGGGTGGAGTGGATGGATATTTTGAGGTTAGTTGTATGTGGATCTGTTCCTGGACCTGGGTCTGGGGCCTCATCCATTGGAAGGACCAACATGTGAATGGTAGGGGGAAGTAAGTCTTTACTCAATGGCCAATAATGAGGAAGAAGGGAGACTGTGCTCACAAACAGCTTTTTATCCTCAGGAGAGTGGGGTTCCAGATACAAGACAGGAGTAATGATGGATGGAAATGGGGTCATAGAAGGAGGGAATATTCTTGTCTTTCTGGGACGAGGCTGACCTTCCAGAACCTTCATTAGCACTGCTTTTTACATTTTTCATGGTCTGGTGGTTCCAGTCACGGGGGCTTGGAGATGTCTTTAGCTTTGGTGGGAGGAAAGAGAGGCTAGGCAAGTCCAGGCCAAGTTAAATAACCCTGTATTATATTTTTGGACACAAGTTTCTCCAGTGGTCAACATATCCATGTATAGGATCTGACCTAAAGATTAAGGCAGAAGAGAGGATAGACATCATGAAGATGGACACCATGCCTCTTTATCTCTAC